ACCAGACTGCAAATATGTTTGAACTGCAAGGTCGGTGGTTCAAGCTGACCAGCTGCTCCTTGGAAACCCTATTTTACAGGGTTGCTATGGATTGGAACCAATTTGACAGTACATCACAGCAACATAAAGGCACAAAATGGCTGGCTTACAACTTTTCAAAAGGGAGTTTAGTTTCAAAGTGTGCAGGGGAAGGCAGACTCCTCACTGAATAGTTTCCATCTTGTCTTGATGGATCTGGTAAAAGGACATGGGAATAGGATTCTTTTGATTCAATGTTGTTGTTGTTGTTGTTATGTGCCGTGGAGTCGGTTCTGACTCATAGCGACCTTGTACAGGGTTTCCGAGGCTGTAAATCTTCATGGGAGCAGAAAGCCTCATCTTTTTCCCACGGAACAGCTGGTAGTTTTGAACTGCTGACCTTGCGGTTTGCAGCTCAATTCGTAACCACTACGCTCCCATAGCTCCTTGATTCAATAGTGAGTAATTATTATCATGACTAATTGATGGTCACAACTGTAAAAGTAGAGGCTTAACAGAAAAAGGGGGAGTAGTTCATCTTACATTCCAGGAACAGATAACATTAGGACCATTAAGAGAGAAGAGCAAGAGCAAAACATGGGACCCTAACCAGAGAAGCAGGGACACCAGAGATAGAGGCAGAGGTGATGGCATGGAGAGAAGAGCAGCTGAGAAAGAGAAAAAGAGAAAGGCTGTGTGCTGGCAGCCAGGAAGCAGGCTTGCAGGGTGTGCCCTTTGGTTGTTTAAATGATTATACATTCCCGAGTGTTTTTGCGTACACCACAAAAACAAACAAAAAACAGAGGGAATAGCAAAATACTGTTAAATGATGATGCATGGAGGGGATTGTAATCATTGCAATCAAACAAAATACGATAGAATGAGTGCAAAACCGATGTTCTCCCACGTAAACTATCACTCAATTCACAATAAAAGCATTAAAAATGAACAAAAGTACAATGGACTGCCGGAAGAATAAACCAACCTGTGTCAGAAGTAGAGCCAGAATGTTCCTTAGAAGTCAGGATGGCAAGATTTTGAGTTTCATGCTTCAAACATGTTATGAAGAAGGACCAGTCCCTGGAGAAGGTCGTTGTGCTTGGTAATGTGGAGGGTTGGTTGAAAAGAGGAAGACCCTCAACAAGGATTGGCACAGTGGCAGCAGCAGCAATGGACTCAAATGTAACAATTGTGAGCAGGGCACAGGACCTGGCAGGGTTACATTCTGTTGTGCATAGGGTCTTTATGAATTTGAGCCAACTGGAGGGCGCCTAATAACAACAGTCTAACTCCATGATTTTATAGTCACAGAATCTGAGGTTCCTTCTTTTGTCATCTGACATTGGCTCCCTTATTTCATTCAGGACTCTGCTCATAAATCGTCTACATGAACACCTTCTTTAGGAATGTATCTGAAATAGGCCCCCAGAACTCTTTTTTCAATCTGGCTTAATTTTTTTTCCCATTATCTATGTATACTATGTACTGAGTTTTTTACTTGTTTATTTTCCCCACTAGAATATAAGCTTCATAAGGGCAAAACTTTGAGTGCTGTTTTTCTGACGTATAAGGGATATAATAAATATATTAGTTGACTCGATGGCTAAACCTTCTAAAGCTCCAATTGAAATGTGATTTTGATGCACAAGAATTTTCCTTCAGTTTTCAAGGCTGAGAGCTTTCTTTTATTTTGCCTTTATTTCTCATATTCCTGGCCTAACACTGTTCACAATGTTAAACTTGGGTGAACATGTGTCTGATTCCCAGGCCCATCAAGGACAAGGACTTGTCTTAGTCATGAGTCTATCATAAGCAGGTATTCAAAAATGCGTGTTGGAGGCAGGTGTGGAACATGGTAACTGATAGTCACAGAGTTTGTATGCAGTGATTTATTGTCCTTTTAAGGCTCCATCAGCAGGTGGAATGGAAAACACCTCCCACCTTGACTCCTTGGCCAACCAAGGCATTGTACTCCTTCACAGCCTGCTCTGTCTGCAGGACCCGCACATCAATGCCTTGTTTCTCGAGGTATTCCACAGTTGATGGAGGCACCTCAGTTCCTGTTTCTCTCCAATCCCAAGCTCGACTGCCTCCTGGCCACACTTTGCAGTCCTTATAGGTTTTAGTAGAGCCTTGTACTTTCAT